GAATTTTTTAACGAGGCAAACAATGAAATACTCTTACGTGCTAGTTTGGACTTGGTTGAAGAACACCATGACAAAGCTCGATTAAGGATAGCTTCCTACCAGCAACGGGCAAAAATATTCTTCGACTCCAAGGTTAGGAGAAGAGACTTTTAGGTTGGCGACCTGGTTCTAAAGGAAGTCCTTTTCGGTACAAGGGATTTGAGCACAGAGCTATTGAAACACAACTGGGAGGGTCCATACCGCATCACAAAGGCAATACGACCTGGGAGGTATCACCTTAAAAGGTTAAATGGTTCCAAAGTACCGCGAGCTTAGAATGTTGAACATCTTCACCTCTATTATCAGTAATGCTGAACTCGCTTGCAGCTTTGATTTTTTCCTCTGAACTTGTAAAATTATCCTTGTAAGTATTATGAATAAGATTGTTCTGCTTCTTCTCAAAGGAAAACTTGTGTCATTATCTCAAGTCTTTTGTTAATGATCTTGTTCTTTATAACATTTTGTTAGTTCAGTAGTTGGAAAAGTTATATTTGTCCTGTGAAGTGCTTAAATTATAAAAGTGATATCGCAAGTAACCAAGAGTTCCTTTTATGTATTATAAAAGAAAAGAATATGTATAAGAAAGCGACCAAGAGTTATTGAAAGATAAAAAGCTGGGAGAACTACAATGACAGACAAAAAAAAGGACAATCAGTTGTCTTCATTTCCAGGCTCGTCGGGTGCAACCTCCTGATCCTCTGGACGATTGTCAGCCTTCGGATCATCCACCTAATCTTCGGAGATGTTCGACTGATCATCTTCTAAGGGAGGTCCCTACTGTTCCCGTTGCTTGGCCACTTCAGTCTCAAGCATGGAGACAAGGATGGACTGGTATTCGTCTGGAAGGTCAGAGATGCCCATCTTTGGGTTCCTCAACCGTAGGCTGTAAATGGCTTGTATTGCCCAATGATCAGTCAACCTCTCTAGCTCGAGGTTTTGTTACTTCATCTGTTCGGTTAGTGAATCAACTCGCCCCTAAGACAACTCGAGGTCTGCCTCCATCGCCCTCTTCTGCCTCTCAGAGTTCTCCCACAACTGAGCCCAACTCTCTTCCACCGCCTTCGCACAATCGGTGCTCACCCTCAACTCTTTCTCTCGCTCGCTCAACTCTTTAGTGAGTCTTTCCACTATCCATTTGAGCTCCTTATTGTCCCCGTCCTTCTTCTCGAGCTCGACCTTCTGAAAGTCCATAGCCCAAAGTGTAGAATCTCTCTCTGCTAGGTACTGTTCCGCCTAGGTGTGAGACGTTTTGGCTTCCGCATCCATAGTCGCGAGGTCTTGCTTTAGCTTGACATTCTCCTCCTTCGGTTCATGGAGATTTTCGACAGAGTCCATGTCGATCTTTTGTTGGGCCATAGTCAGGGCGAGTAGGGATTGCATAGGCAAAGAGACAAAAGTCAGTTTCCTTTTCTCAAAATCATAAAAGCTAAGAAGGTTCCCAAAGGGAACAGGCCGTTTTACCTGACTGTGCAGTTAGAGTGCAGTAGTCACCAGGTCGGCTGGTCGTAAGGCCACGAACTCCTCGAAGGCCTTGGCAAGCTGGCATTCGAGTAAGGAGTACATCACAAGTTGCAAATGCTCCGGTAGTTGCCCTAAGGAATCCAGCAAGGACAGGTTTGGCCTTGAAGGGGCAGGTGCATCCTCAACCCGTTACTTGCCTGCTCTTCTATGGGCAACCGTGGTCACCCCCGCTCCCTAGCGCGAGCTCCCGGGGGTCGCCGAATTGATAGGATGGCCCATCGGGGGTACTCCCGAAATAGCAACGGTGTAGGGCTGAGTTCTCTCCAGTAGCACCTCGAAACCCTCTAGTTCCGACTTCGTTTCCTCTTCGACAACCAGCTATTTCCTCTTCTTGGTTTTCTGGCCCATGGTTTTCTGCTTCGTGGTACAAATAGTCACAGGCTGGGGAGCTTCTTCACATCGCTCCGTGGGTGGTCGCCTTTCGACGTCGATCCGCAGCCCTTCTATGGGGATGACGCTGGGGTCACCTCGATCGGGTTGACCTGGGGGAACACAAACCCCTTGACCCTTGTTGGTGGCCTCAGAACCCTTGGTCGTATAGTCACTGCATGCCATGAAAAGGTGTTAGTAAAAAATCATCTTTGGCATAAGGCTAAAAGATCTTTTGGTTACAAAGATACTTACGAGCTGGAGCTTCTAGAGATGCCTCAAGGATAAAAAAATATGTACTTTCGCAGATTGGTAGTGGTCATGAGCAGTTTTGCGTCGTGACTCTGATCGGGTAAGAGACCAAACACTTCGATGCGTTTGAAATCTGCTAGAGTCGACAACTTGGTCGTCTTGTTCTCTAAAAAAAAACCATTAGTCTTAACTACCAAAAAAGAGTTAAATGAAGGGATGGTCAGTTTGGAAATTAAAAAGGGAAAAACCTACTCGGCTTCCTAAATTTACAGACACTGTCATACTCGAAGAAGAATTATTTAGTGTCATAAGCCCCAACGTTGATGGGGTAACCAAATATCCCTCCGTCGATCGTGGGTTGCTTCGAGAGATAGAAGGAATCCTTGTCCTTGCTTTTCTTTAGTATGTAGGCGCATGCAAGTTCTAGTGATGTTAACTCGTCGAGTTCGTGTTTGCGGCATGCAATATACATAGCAATCATAATCATGTACGAGTTGGGTGTCAGTTGGAACTGTGCGACCTCAAAGTAGTCGAGGATCGATCTGATAAAGGGGTGAAAAGGCATCGTCACCCCTCATTTAAAGATTGCCTCCAAGATCATAGTTGTTCCCTCTAGAGGGTCTTGAGCAGAGTGTGATCTATGCTGGTAGACGTTTATGTTGATCGCAAACTGGTCTACCGCTTTCTGAATCTCATCTGCAATGGTTGTTGATAGCACGGCCTGTGCGGGGCTTGTCGAGGTGCTTAGAGGCTGCGAACTGGTTCCTTCGGTTGATCGCATATCTAAAGCATCCATCACTCCAAAAGTCTGAAAAGGTGCGACATGTAGAGGTGACTCAGTCTCCGTACAGTGTGTCGTACGATGACTTAAAAGAGTAAGAAAAACCCTAATTTTCCCTCCTTAACTCCTAAAAACCTTAAACGTCCTCGGGAACTAGTTCTCAAGGATTTATGCCCTAGGTTTTCGATTCTTGAGGGTGTTTCCTTTTTTAACACCACCTCAGAATGTGCATCATAAAAGTTTACCAGGCGTTTAAGTCCACCATTGTCATTAAAGAACCAAGCTTTTAACAAGAATGAAAGAAAGAAAGGGAAAAGTTTTCCTTACCTCTTGGTTGCTGGGAATTAATGCTCTGTCATAACGGCGAGATTGCATCAACTGGAAGACGGATGAACTTGTTTCTTGAGTGTGGAAACTCTATTCTTCTCTCTAAAGATTCAAACTCTGTGAAAATTCTGAGGTAGGCTTAGGGTTTTATAGGGAAAAAGGCTGCGCCTGGTTTCCTTCGCAAGCGACGTTTGGGCGGGGTGCGTTTCCAACCATTGGATGCGACCACGTGTCACCAATACTCGCGAAGAGTGACTTGCATGCTTCGTAAAGATCAATCGACGTTTCCCTCCATTGAAAATACCAAACATCGGCATGGTTATGTTCACCACATTAAATGCGCCCTCATCCGTATTTAATTCCTTAAAAGAGAATGTTGTTTTAGCATGGCTTGCATTTAATGCTCATGGTTGACACTTATTGCATAAAAACACGTCTATTAGATAAATATTACTTTATTGACCAGGCCAACTGTCAGGTGCAACAGATAACTTCTGAAAAGGTCATTCGAGTGAAACACTCTTCTCTGTGTACTAGGCTCGAAGCAAAGTGACTTCTAATTTTCGGCAAAAATACTCTTAAGTGTTCTCAGGTCGCGAACGATGGGCAAAGTTCCAAGCACGTTGGTATAGCACTAAGCAGGATCTGATCCTAGGTTGCTGAACCTTTAGGGGACGATCACATCAGGTCGCTTGTGCAACTCGCGAAGCTTTGCATCGCGACCTCCATGCAGTTCATTGGTCAAGTTAAGTCGTGTGCTTCGCGTTACCTTGGCCGATCTCTATCAACAGTTTGAGCGAGCGATCCTCGGAACGAGTCAAATCATGGCATAATCATGAAGTTTTCAAAGTTCAAGCCTTGAACCTTAAGAACTGGGAGGCTTCTGTTATGCCTAAAAAATTAGGGCTGACGTAGACTCACGTTAGTAAGGATTAATCAGAGTTTAGGAAGGCATTGTGCCGTCCAGGCGCTACCACGTCATCCAAGGACAAAAGGAGTAAGACTGTCATCAACTTGGCAGGTAAGGGTATGGCTAGTGAATGGCTGGGAGTCATCCACTTGCCCGATCCCTATGCGATTTAAGGATACCTATTGCACAGCCAGACAATAGGAAGCAAGATAGGAATTGTACAGTACCTGCCCATTAACAGACTCGTAATCATGCCCAGGAACCTCTTACTATAAATAGAGAGCTCTTCTCTCTTCATCCGGATTCGGCTTATGATACTATAAACACTTTTTCTCCCTCTCTGTATTTCTTATCTGATCACTACTTGAGACCTAATTGTAACTTTTCTTCTATAAAAAGACAGTGGACCCGTAATCATTGCTCGTAACAGACCCGTAACATTGCCTAGGAACCTCTTACTATAAATAGAGAGCTCCCTTCTCTTTATCCGGATTCGGCTAATGATAATATAAACACTTTTTCTCTCTTTCTGTATTTCTTATCTGATCGCTACTTGCAACCTGATTGTAACCTTTCTTCTGTAAAAAGACAGTGGACGTAGGATTCGCTTTGAGCATCCGAACCACTTTAAAAATCATCTTCCTTTATTTCTTTATTTCCATTCCCAATTCACGTGTAATTTCTAAGTCTGCTTAACATTTTGCACGTGCGAATAATTGGTGTCAAAATCTAGCATCAACAACTTCTAAGTATGATTTGAATACAAATCATAGCACTAGATTCACATAGTTTCAGAGTTGACAAAACGAATGATAAACACAAGCAACAGGCAGCTTCTGTTGCTTATCTCCACACACAACACACTGAGAGTTTTAGAGTTGACAAAAACGAACAATGAGCACAAGCAACAAAAGGTAATCACAGGCAACTTCTGTTGCTAATCTCCACACACAACACACTGAGAGTTTCAGAGTTGACAAAAACGAACAATAAGCACAAGCAACAAAAGGTAATCACAGGCAACTTCTGTTGCTCATCTCCACACACAACACGCTGAGACATAATCATCAAAGTTGTGGTTTTTACAGTCAATTATCTAAGAGAAACTGGGCAGGTTCAGTCTTTGCTGCATAGCCAAACTTGCTTGTGCAATACTTCCTATATACTCCAGTTAGCTTCCCCTTCCCGGCCTTCTGGTGTAAAGTAACCATCAGTTTTGAGCATTCCCTTTTGGCATACAAGAAAATTATATCATTTCATTAGTATTAAATTTGAGTCAAATTGAGAGTATTGAGAAACAAAATGTGAAACACAGCTACTCACAAGAGCTGATCTTCTGAGTAGTTGGTATGCCACCGGGTTGTTTTAGTCCATTCCTTGAACTGGTAAAGGCTGCACTGGGCTGTGTAAATTGCTGCAGCAGCGAGCAAAGATGGCGGGAACTTGAGCATTTCAAACTCCACCAGGCATAGCTCAATGTTGAAGAAGGAAAGAATCTCAAGCTGGCGCAATTCATAAGCACAACAGACTCTAATTTTAAATATGAAAGAGTTTAAGCCCTAGATAATTTAATCTTGAGAAAACTTTTACTACCTTTTTGTCAGATTGAGCTGCTTTGAGAAATCTCCTCATAAACACATAAGGGGTTGGCACAGACATGTCAAATTGTAAAGTGTTCATCATTAGTTTCTCCTATAACAAAAAATGAACATTCAAGATCATAGTTAAAAATTGGAAAGCAGAAAAGTTCACTAAAAAAGAATCATGAAATGGGAAAATTAATTACCATATCAAGAACTTCTTTTCTTGTGTAAGCCTTATCTGATATCAGGACAAAATCCTCCACAATGGGGACAGAAACCTCCTCATACTTGCATGCTAATAGCATAGCTGTGATGCCAACTAATTGAAGCTTCTTTCTGACCACTGATTGCTTCTCTAAAAATCTGTCTATGATATTAATTGTAAGGAACAATGTCTCATCCATGAGTTCAAATTTGTAGTGAACCTGTTAATTATAGCATGAAGCCTATTAGTCCTCAGTTAATATGTGCTAGTGAAACTAGAAAGCATATTTATTTTATCTATACCTCTATGAGCCAATCAATGAGTATAGCCCTCATTTTCTCATTAATGTCAGTTTGATTGTCCATGTAATCAGGAGAAACGCAACTAGAAATCTGCATAAAATGACTACAATTCAGTACTTCAATCATTAATGGTCAATATTCTATAAAAGGGTTACTCCTCCCAATTTGTCAAAGGGCTAAATGTTTACATTTTGCAACATTGCTTAATATCTAATAGCTAAACAAAACTTACCTCACTTTTCCTGTAATAAGCATAGATGTCATCTACATATTCAGCAACTGCAAGTGGATTTTGTGAATCTCTGCCATCAATGTCTATAATTAGGTCCTCAAAATCCTCCATTTCATCAACATCCTAGAAACATTAAGTACATAGTATTAATATATGATATTATTTTGGCCGTAAAAATATATATTTTAGACAAGATCCCAGGCAAGATTAACCAAACACACATACCATTCTATCAATCTCGTCAAGAAATGCCTCTGTGTGCCTCACACACATTGGTACCCCAACATTGTTGTCATCATCAACCTCATCACAGTCCTCTGCATCTATGATTGTACAATCTTTTGCCAATGTAATTGGCTTCTTAGTCTCCTGATAACACAGTCAACCCAACAATGAATATACCTAAGGGAAATGTTAATCATCTTAAATTCTTAATCCATGTATAAAATTAATAGATGGTCCACGTAGAAAATAGTACTTCAGGGAAATGTTGGAGTTGCTTGTAGCTAACCACTTGTTCAGCCAATCTTGTACTAGGCCTATGTGCTAAAACTGAGTTCTTATCACAAGTTACATCTTTCCTGAATATAATGCAATATCAGATCGATTACATGACAATAAACAAAAGATTCAAAATCAAACCAGAAATTAACCAAAAAGATTCTAAAGATTAACAAATCTCACCCTTTGTTGACCACATTAGAGTAAAGGGTAGCTCCCATTATGTTGGGATTCACGTTCACGCTAATTAATGGCCTTCTTTGATTTTGATCCCTCTCCTTCACATTCTTCTCTCCTCCCATTTTCAACCCATCTTCAAAAAACAAAGTAAAAAAGAGTAAAAAACAAAAATTTGAACAAAAGCACACTAAATTAAAAGAATATGCATACCTTGAAAAACTGAAGCTCTTCCTGCAATGAGACACATAGTCTGACCCTTTGATCCACCCATTTCTTTCATTCTCGTGAACACGAATGAGAGAAATGACAAGACTATTTGACGATCATAAAAAAGGCACGGATAAAACAAGAGAGAGAACTGAGAGATTGAGAGAATTGGTTTCTTTCTTTATTTGAAAATAACGGCTAGTAAATAAGGACCGTTGATGAGAACGAAATTGAAAAGTTACGTTGGTCCGTTAAACGGTCTAGAGCGCAGCGCGTGTGACGTGTTCCGTTTTTAAAATATTGGGCCCATACGGTGTTGGGCCTAAGGCTTTTTAACCCATGGATCTAAGCTCTTCTCCACTAAGGAGCCATCATGCTTTCTTAGAAGCTTCTTCATTTCATGACGTTGACACATTATTAATTTTGAAAATATTTTTATTAAAATATATTTTTTAGCACTTTCTTATAAATGCTTTATTGTACTTGTTCCCATCTTTTATTTATTGCATTAGTCTCTAAATTAATAACTAAAATGTGAAAAATACTTAAATCTCTAAATTAACTATATTTTTTTGTATTTAAAACCATATATATTATCTTCATAATTAAAAAAACGTTTATTCCTTTATTTTTTTCCAACTTATTAATGTATCATAATTTATCTCCATTAGTTCTTGGCAGATCCTCTCATCTGTCAAGATATTCTAGAATTATGTGTAAAATCTTTATGGAAACCAGACTTGTTCCCAGTTCCCACCCAAGGATTGGCTCTCAATAGAGTTTCAGAGTTGACAAAAACGAACAATAAGCACAAGCAACAAAAGGTAATCACAGGCAACTTCTGTTGCTCATCTCCACACACAACACGCTGAGACATAATCATCAAAGTTGTGGTTTTTACAGTCAATTATCTAAGAGAAACTGGGCAGGTTCAGTCTTTGCTGCATAGCCAAACTTGCTTGTGCAATACTTCCTATATACTCCAGTTAGCTTCCCCTTCCCGGCCTTCTGGTGTAAAGTAACCATCAGTTTTGAGCATTCCCTTTTGGCATACAAGAAAATTATATCATTTCATTAGTATTAAATTTGAGTCAAATTGAGAGTATTGAGAAACAAAATGTGAAACACAGCTACTCACAAGAGCTGATCTTCTGAGTAGTTGGTATGCCACCGGGTTGTTTTAGTCCATTCCTTGAACTGGTAAAGGCTGCACTGGGCTGTGTAAATTGCTGCAGCAGCGAGCAAAGATGGCGGGAACTTGAGCATTTCAAACTCCACCAGGCATAGCTCAATGTTGAAGAAGGAAAGAATCTCAAGCTGGCGCAATTCATAAGCACAACAGACTCTAATTTTAAATATGAAAGAGTTTAAGCCCTAGATAATTTAATCTTGAGAAAACTTTTACTACCTTTTTGTCAGATTGAGCTGCTTTGAGAAATCTCCTCATAAACACATAAGGGGTTGGCACAGACATGTCAAATTGTAAAGTGTTCATCATTAGTTTCTCCTATAACAAAAAATGAACATTCAAGATCATAGTTAAAAATTGGAAAGCAGAAAAGTTCACTAAAAAAGAATCATGAAATGGGAAAATTAATTACCATATCAAGAACTTCTTTTCTTGTGTAAGCCTTATCTGATATCAGGACAAAATCCTCCACAATGGGGACAGAAACCTCCTCATACTTGCATGCTAATAGCATAGCTGTGATGCCAACTAATTGAAGCTTCTTTCTGACCACTGATTGCTTCTCTAAAAATCTGTCTATGATATTAATTGTAAGGAACAATGTCTCATCCATGAGTTCAAATTTGTAGTGAACCTGTTAATTATAGCATGAAGCCTATTAGTCCTCAGTTAATATGTGCTAGTGAAACTAGAAAGCATATTTATTTTATCTATACCTCTATGAGCCAATCAATGAGTATAGCCCTCATTTTCTCATTAATGTCAGTTTGATTGTCCATGTAATCAGGAGAAACGCAACTAGAAATCTGCATAAAATGACTACAATTCAGTACTTCAATCATTAATGGTCAATATTCTATAAAAGGGTTACTCCTCCCAATTTGTCAAAGGGCTAAATGTTTACATTTTGCAACATTGCTTAATATCTAATAGCTAAACAAAACTTACCTCACTTTTCCTGTAATAAGCATAGATGTCATCTACATATTCAGCAACTGCAAGTGGATTTTGTGAATCTCTGCCATCAATGTCTATAATTAGGTCCTCAAAATCCTCCATTTCATCAACATCCTAGAAACATTAAGTACATAGTATTAATATATGATATTATTTTGGCCGTAAAAATATATATTTTAGACAAGATCCCAGGCAAGATTAACCAAACACACATACCATTCTATCAATCTCGTCAAGAAATGCCTCTGTGTGCCTCACACACATTGGTACCCCAACATTGTTGTCATCATCAACCTCATCACAGTCCTCTGCATCTATGATTGTACAATCTTTTGCCAATGTAATTGGCTTCTTAGTCTCCTGATAACACAGTCAACCCAACAATGAATATACCTAAGGGAAATGTTAATCATCTTAAATTCTTAATCCATGTATAAAATTAATAGATGGTCCACGTAGAAAATAGTACTTCAGGGAAATGTTGGAGTTGCTTGTAGCTAACCACTTGTTCAGCCAATCTTGTACTAGGCCTATGTGCTAAAACTGAGTTCTTATCACAAGTTACATCTTTCCTGAATATAATGCAATATCAGATCGATTACATGACAATAAACAAAAGATTCAAAATCAAACCAGAAATTAACCAAAAAGATTCTAAAGATTAACAAATCTCACCCTTTGTTGACCACATTAGAGTAAAGGGTAGCTCCCATTATGTTGGGATTCACGTTCACGCTAATTAATGGCCTTCTTTGATTTTGATCCCTCTCCTTCACATTCTTCTCTCCTCCCATTTTCAACCCATCTTCAAAAAACAAAGTAAAAAAGAGTAAAAAACAAAAATTTGAACAAAAGCACACTAAATTAAAAGAATATGCATACCTTGAAAAACTGAAGCTCTTCCTGCAATGAGACACATAGTCTGACCCTTTGATCCACCCATTTCTTTCATTCTCGTGAACACGAATGAGAGAAATGACAAGACTATTTGACGATCATAAAAAAGGCACGGATAAAACAAGAGAGAGAACTGAGAGATTGAGAGAATTGGTTTCTTTCTTTATTTGAAAATAACGGCTAGTAAATAAGGACCGTTGATGAGAACGAAATTGAAAAGTTACGTTGGTCCGTTAAACGGTCTAGAGCGCAGCGCGTGTGACGTGTTCCGTTTTTAAAATATTGGGCCCATACGGTGTTGGGCCTAAGGCTTTTTAACCCATGGATCTAAGCTCTTCTCCACTAAGGAGCCATCATGCTTTCTTAGAAGCTTCTTCATTTCATGACGTTGACACATTATTAATTTTGAAAATATTTTTATTAAAATATATTTTTTAGCACTTTCTTATAAATGCTTTATTGTACTTGTTCCCATCTTTTATTTATTGCATTAGTCTCTAAATTAATAACTAAAATGTGAAAAATACTTAAATCTCTAAATTAACTATATTTTTTTGTATTTAAAACCATATATATTATCTTCATAATTAAAAAAACGTTTATTCCTTTATTTTTTTCCAACTTATTAATGTATCATAATTTATCTCCATTAGTTCTTGGCAGATCCTCTCATCTGTCAAGATATTCTAGAATTATGTGTAAAATCTTTATGGAAACCAGACTTGTTCCCAGTTCCCACCCAAGGATTGGCTTCATGACACATTCTTACTCAAAAAGTTTTAAAATATCATTTTTTTACCAAAAGTTAATATTTCGTTACTACCCAATGTCTATTCCTACCATAAAAATTCTCTCTGTCACCACTATTTAAATCTTCTGTCTTCTTTCTATAAAACCTTTCTCACTCCAACACTTGATTTCTCGTCTATTGTTAACTATCATAAAGCTATGGTTTTTTGTTCTTAACTGATTTCTATCTTATTTTAATAATAAATATTTAATCAGTCACTACTATTTGATTAGTCGGTTTCTATTCTATAAAATCGTTTTTATTTTGGTTTTTAGTAACTCGTCAAACGTCAACTAAGAAAGTGAAATATATATTAAATATTAACGGAATATAAAATATTGGATAGAAAAATAGTATTTTAAAACTTTTTGAGTTAGAAAGTATCGTTAAAGAAAACCTTAGGTGGGACTATTAATTAAGTACATGTTTTAATTAAACTTATTCAATAATTTACATTAATTACACTATTTATTAAGAATCTTTAGTGATTTAAGTACTATAAAAAGGTGCACTAGCATTAATTATGAATTTATTCTTGTCAATAGTAATAAAAACACTACACAATTGCTTGATTAGACCTCCTTCCATCCTTCCTCTCTGTCTTAATGTGATCATGTGAACAAATTATTTGAAAGGCTTATTACTTAGAGTTAGTGACGGATCCAAAAATTTCTTTTAGGGTAGATCAAAATAAAAATTTATTATACATTACTATTTTTGTCCATTAATATTTTTGTTAGGGTGGGCTAAAATATATAAATTTACATATTAATATTAAAAAAAAAATTTGAGAGTGGGCCATGGCCCACCCAAAAAGTGACTGGATCCGTCACTGCTTAGAGTTCGCATGAGAGTTTTATGATAGCGGTTGTGAGGGTAAACTATCGTAACAATTTTGAGAGGTTTTAAATAGCAATTTTTAAAATACCCAACTTATGTTTGGAACTTTATTTTCTAGCGGTTCTAATAGTTTTTTAAAATGAAAAGTTACATATATGCCCATGAAAATACCATAACTTTAACCAGTACTTGAGAGTTTTGTTTTTTTAATTACAAAGTAAGGGTTCTTTATTTGTTTTCTACTTATTAGTATTTTATAACTTCAAATATGATAAAATCTCCTTATCTTTCTTCGTCATTCTTTACAATATCTAGAATGATTGAAAAATTATAGTTCCATTTCTCCAAGAAAACATCTAGAAATGAGATTTTAATTCTTTTTTTTTTTTATGATTGCTTAAAATTATTTTATATTTAATATAGTTGGAAACGTGTATAATATGTTTAAATTTTTTTTTTTTGGATATAATTAGGATGGTTTTATAGTGGATATGGTATTTGTGGAATAAAATTTTAAAACCAACCAAAATATCCCGATTTTAGGTGTTTAATAAACCCCTTAAAAATATACTATATTAGTTTTGCGAGGTTTTTGAGCCAGTCGAAACCAATGCATAAAAAATATTGTAAGTAATAGTTTTAGAACACCTCAAAACCAGTCTAATAAAAAACCTCTTAAAATCAGTGAAAAAAAAACTTCCAAGTGGACCCTTAGTTATCTTTCTATAATCACTGACCATTTTTTCTTTTTTTCTTTTTCAATAACTTTCTTATTAAATAGATAAACATAACGAACAACGTATTAAATGGGTAACGTTATTAGTCTTCAATCTTTCATGGAACCAACTTTTATTAATAAAATATGACACTTTATGTTACAACATTGAAAAACAGATAAGGTTATTGACCCGATAACTTAATTACTTTTGTATGTATATATATGGTGAAATTAAACCCTAAAGTTTAATTATCGACAATAAAAAAGAAAAAAGGATTTGACCCTTGAGAAAGCACAGGCAAATTGAGCTGGCAAACACAATAATATTTGGTTCTCAAGTCCAAATTTCTCATAGTTGTGGCCCCGTGAACGCAGAATTCATAAAAAGACTTTGAATTTATCTTCCTCTTTAATTAGCTTGTCATGAACATGAAGTCAATAGGTCAATATAATTAGGCAGACACACCAAAGTGAGACCAATTTAGTGAAGCCAATTGGGTATAAATAAAATCCAAGATTCCTTTATATCTAAGTCTGTGACTAAGTACATCTCTTTCTTGGCCCTGGAAACTAGAGATAATTGTGGATGGAGATGGGTAGTGATAAGTGTCACAAGATTATGAACAGTGACACAAGCAAACTGAGCCTCTTTCCTTGTGTTAAAGGAGACAGTTTGACCCATTAATTGTTTATTATTTGTGTCAATTGTCATTTAGTCCACTCCTATTTTAGCATAAAGGACAACACCATTAATTTAAGACACCAGAGCTTAATCGTCTGACAAGTTGGTAAGTGCCACGATTCTTCATCCTGGAAGTCGAAACAACCCATTGATTGAATCCAATCAGCAGAGATTTGTCGGGGAGATGTATCTATGAGTATCCGAAGAAATGTCTGGAATCTGAGATGTTGGCGTTGCAGATGTACGTGGTGCATTCACGTATTGTTGTCACTGGATTTATGGATAGTAATCACGAGATTGCTGAAGCTCTTCTTCCTACACAGTATCTGGCTGTGAGTCCGGGTACCACCATTCGGGATAAGATGAATTGTCATCGGATTGAGCATTGATGGAACGTATGCATGTCTGTTTGCGTGGAGCAATTTCTCAGTGTAGTCTAGGATTACTAACCCTAAACCCTAAGCCCAAGGATTACTAGACCTTAGAGATGCTGTCAGAAAATCATGAGTTTATGCATGTGGGAAACTATGATAGCCGACCTAAGCGGAACCAATCAACACACGATCGGTCTAAAAATGGTCAAGGCCCTCCTTTTATCCACACACACACGTACACCCACGTAGCTTCTAACATCATCTAAAAGGGCTAATGAAAATTAAACAACAACGTAAATGGAGAGCATAAATATAAATGAAGAACATGTACAAAATTGAAGAACAAGAACATAAAAGAAACATAATAAGAAAAAGGTTCCACATCAGCAGTACTTCGTTGGCAGAATGGTTCAGTAAATATTCATCACCGTCCAGCATATCAAAGGTCACACCAACACCATTGCAGATTATTTACCACCTAAACTAAACAAGTTGGTTTCATGAACCCAAGATCCAAACCTCTTCCATGTTTTGTGTTCCAACCATTAACCCAGTCCAGTTTCTGTTCATCATCCTCTTCACTAAACCGCTCCCGATGTACCTCCTGAATTCGATGACCTTGTTTGAACTTGTACCATTGATGAAAATGCTACCACCCTTATGTTTTCTTACCAACTTCATGCATAAACACAATCTCAATGTAAGCATTAAATGAACCTTGTTTGTTTAATCTTGTTTGCCATTCAACATAAAAATTAGGTATGGATGTGGATCTATACTTTCTAGATTCATCCATTTGAAAACCTTTGGCTAGATTTTCGGAATATGACTTCACTAAATATCCTTATTCTATGAGGAGCAATCGCCTTGATATTCCACCCTTATGATCACCTTCTTAAATTTTGGGAGTCAGGGAGATTTGAACTTAAGAACGTATGTCTTAACCACACATCCCAACGCCCATCCTATCACTTGAGTTACTCAAATGTGGGTTATATCTCAAAACATATTCATTATAAGTGACGTGTTCTATTTCAATTATGTATTGTCATTTTATTTGTCAAATCACCGATTCGTATCGATATCATAAAACATTACAACCATTTGAACCTTATGTCTCCTCTCTTCAAAACTCTTCTTACTCTGACATCTGATTTCTCGCTGATTGCTAGCCACTGCAAAACTAGGATTTTATGTTTTTAGCTAATTTTTGACTGATTTCTACAACTAATATTCAATCTATCACCACCATTCGACCCACTAGCCTCCACTTTACAAAAATCCTATCACCCTAACTCCTGATAACCTGTTGAACGTTGGTTGAAAAAATGAAATGTATTTTAGATATTAACGGAATATAAACTTTGGGTAGAAAAGTGATATTTAAAAACTTTTTGGGTAAGAAAGTGTCACTAAGGCAAACCTTAGGTGGGAAAAAGTCATTTACTCTTTCTATCATATAAACGTATATGTGACGTATATAAGATCCAATTAATGCATGAGGAATAGGAAAAACACAAACATTTAATTACTGAATTCCTTATAAGATTTCAACGTAAAGAAAAGGTAAAAGGACCCCATTAATAATTAATTGAATCAAAGTGAAAGGTATCATGCACTAAAAACATAGAACAAAGTTGCACGTGATTACGCGTCACATTGTCAAAAAACCGCGTGAACCGACCACCACCCTCTCCCACTTTTAACTGTTTTTCAAATTAACTAACACTTTTTCCTGAATTTAGTAACCACAATACCCGCGATCATTATTCCCTCACATCTTAACCGTTTATCATGACTTAACTCCTGGAAAAATGCCGCCAATTTTTTTTTTTTTATTCCAAAAAATATTCTCCCTCACATATCATTTGCTCTCTCTCTTTCTCTCTTTACATCACCATCACTGTATCAATGCACTCACTACTGACCCCTCATTTTCTTTCTTTTCCTGGGAAAATTTTGAGATTTTAAAGCAACCCCTTTTGAGATTTTGAGATTTTTGAAGCAACTCTTTTGCATTTGTGTTGATTCTAGAGCAACCCTTTTGAGAATTAAGCTTGAAAGTGGGCAATGGAGGGTGTTTCAAGGTCTGGGAATGAGAGTGATGTGGTCGGCGAGTTGTTGGAAGTGATTGAGATGGTGGGAGGGTATAATGGGTATAGGAAAACTCAGAGGAAGGAGTGTTTGAACATGGTGAGAAGATTGAAGCTTTTGGTGCCACTTTTGGAAGAGACAAGGGAGCACGATAAGCCGTTTTCTTGTGAGGCTTTGAATTTTTTTGCTAATTTGAAGAAAGCGCTTCTTGCAGCGAAGAAGTTGTTGAAGCATTGTAACTATGGAAGCAAGATTTATCTGGTTAGTGTCAGTTCTTCACTTTCATTTTATTATTTTTGATTTTCATGGCATTTAAGATTATGTTGTTACTTATTGGGTGTTTGTGTTTGTTGAAATTAATTAGGCACTGGAGAGTGAGGCTGTGATGTGTAGATTCCATGCTGTTTATGACAAGCTGTATCAGGCTTTGGATGATGTCCCTTATGAGGAGCTGGGGATCTCAGTTGAAGTGAAAGAACAAGTGATTTGCTTTCTCTTTTTGGTGTTTATTTAAGATTCTTGGTTTGATTACTGCAGTTTCTTTTTGGTTTGATCCACTGCTTAAAGATAGATTTCACTTCATAATGTTCTACAGAAAATGTAGTTGCAATGAATAACATGAGTTTCATAGCATTTATATCTTGTCTAGTAGTAATGTTGTTACAACTTAATAATCTGATACTTCAGTTTGAGCGCAATGAAGATGCTCTGCTTAGATAGGCTCTCACATTGAATAATATTTTTTAGGAAATATCATTTGAGTGCAAATATTTACTGTCACTAGGTGTTCGTGGATGTGCCTAGCTGAAGATAATGCTGACTATCATGATAAGGAACCCACTATATCTAGTTTGCAAGATAGTATGTAACTGGGACCATGAACATGTTGTGGTTTTATGACTGAAAATTGGTTGGAGAAGGATTGTCAGGTTTGACTGTTTAAATTGTAGATATCTTTCAAGGTTAACAAGTTCTTCCTCCATTGTTTCGGTGTGTTTAGTAAGCTAATGAATGAAAGTTCCCTCTTTTCTCATGTCCAGTTGTATTGTTTGGCTGATTTACAGGTTGAGCTAATGCGTATGCAACTTAAAAGAGCAAAGAGGCGAACAGATACTCAGGATATAGAGCTCGCAATGGATTTGATGGTTGTTTTGTCTAAAACAGATGACCGCAATGCAGATGATGCCATTCTGGAAAGATTAGCAAAGAAATTAGAGATGCACACCATTGCTGACTTGAAAGATGAAACATTAGCTGTCAGGAAACTGGTAAAAGAGAGGGCTGGGCAGAATGCTGATAGCATTCAGCAAATCAAAGATCTTTTAGGAAAATTTAAGCAAATTGCAGGGGTCGAAGAAACTATTGTGCCTGATGGATCTGTTTCAAAAAAAAGTTTACAGAGGTGTCAAACTATGCTAGTCCCTCATGAATTTCTGTGTCCAATTATACTGGAGATAATGACAGATCCAGTCATTGTGGCCACTGGACAGGTAATCTCAGAATTAGATAAAAACTTCTATTGCATACATTATTGCTACAACTGTCATCTAGTTTCAATAATTACGTCTAACCAGCTAACAAATCATTTGGACATACCTATTTTATAAGGTATACTCATACTATAAATAACCTTATAGTATGCTTTACCTCATAAGGAGCCCAAAAGTTAATCAAATTTCAAGTTAAGCGAAGATTCTTTTACCAATATTTCAACATGCCATAAAAACTGAGACCTTCCTTTCTTCTTTTCTTTTTTTTTTTTTTTTTTTCTGTTTTTAAAGACTTATGAAAGAGAGAGCATACAGAAGTGGTTAAATTCCCATCATCGGACATGTCCAAAGACTGGACAAACTTTGGATCACTTGTCTCTAGCACCCAACTATGCTCTCCGCAATCTTATTTTGCAATGGTGCGAGAAAAACAATGTTGAACTGCCAAAGAAGGATACCAATGCGGGCTCTGATGTTGCCTCAGCTCAACTCATAGAAGAAATTTCTTCTTTAGTTCAAAATCTCTCCTCTTGTGAGTTGAATATAAGAAGAGAAACTGTAATGAAGATCAGATTGCTATCAAAAGAGAATCCAGAACACAGAGTTTTAATTGCCAACAGTGGAGGCATTCCTCCTTTGGTTCAGCTGTTGTCCTATCCGGATTCCAAGATACAAGAGCATACTGTCACCGCGCTTTTGAACTTGTCACTTGATGAAGCTAACAAAAGACTTATAGCAAGAGAAGGAGCAATTCCTGCTATAATTGAAATCCTGCAAAATGGAACTTATGAAGCCAGAGAAAACTCTGCAGCAGCATTGTTCAGTTTGTCAATGCTCAATGAGAATAAAGTAATGGTAGGAAACTTGAATGGGATCCCTCCATTGGTAGATCTTTTGAAAAATGGAACAATCAGAGGCAAAAAAGATGCAGCCACAGCACTTTTTAACTTGTCTTTAAACCAAGGCAACAAGTCCAGGGCTATTAAGGCAGGTATCATTCCATCATTACTAAAACTACTTGAGGATAAAACTCTGGGCATGATTGATGAAGCTCTTTCAATCTTGTTGCTCCTTGCATCTCATCCTGGTGGCCGGAATGAAATCGGGCGGCTATCATTCATTGAAACGTTGGTTGAAATAATAAAGAATGGGACTCCTAAGAACAAGGAATGCGCCACATCTGTTTTACTTGAGTTGGGGTTAAACAATTCATCTTTCATTCTGGCTGCTCTTCAGTATGGGGTGTATGAGCACTTAATAGAGATTACAAGATGTGGAACAAACAGAGCTCAAAGAAAAGCAAATTCCCTTTTGCAGTACATGAGTAAGTGCGAACATATTCCATGAAAAAGCTTACAGGTAGCATGATGTTTTCAGATTGGTTCCACCTTCTGATTATGGAAGGTTATACATTGGAAGTGTTCATCTTGTGTAATGTGAAGTCTGATCCCAGGAACAATGTAAAGAAAGTATAGTTTTCTTTTAATATGATAGAAAATTGTGGATTATTCTTATTTGGCCTTAAAACAAATAATGATTTCTTAACAAACAGGCGATTCCCACAACCATGCCATTTTTTTTATTTTTTTTTATTTTCTAAATGTATGATTGATTGTTAATCATCCAAAATCAATCAATTATTTGATTGATTGTAATTACATTATTGTGATTGTCAATCATCCATTTCTCAAACAAAACATAATATTACTAGTCACTGAAACTTTTTCAACAAAACCGAAGATCCAATGTCAATGCGCCTGAACTGATCACTGTCAATTTTGTACTAGTACAGTCGCCCCAAGGACTTTACGAAGATTTGTGTAAGTTTGTTGTTGCAGCCCTCCAAAACCAGGCATGGTTTTAAATAAACTTGTCAAATGAGTTGGTCTATCAATCATGCTAGAAACAGAAATTGTATGCTGCTTAATCCAAAGGCTTCGGATTGAATCTTTAAGAACCCATACGACAAACTTTGTCTCAAAGACTGCATCCATCAGACAAATTGATTCTCTCATTTCGAGCAAGCCGTAACAGTTTTGGTGTGGAAGCTTTATGATTTCCAGGAACTTTTTCTGTCGCAATTTCCGAAGGCTGTATAAAAACTTCATTTCAACAACCGGTATAGCCAATAAATTATCTCTTTCAGGACAGTAAAAGAAGAGAATTCCATTCCCTGAGACCCTGGAGCTTCCAACTGCCTCCACTTTTCATCCTCTGACCACCTTTCATAATCCAATGAATAGATGAGTTTCTCAGCTAAACCGCCATCTCTGGAAACGAAAACCTTATAAATATGGGATGATGCATCGTACACAAATGCGCAACAACTGAAGAGGATAGAACAAGATGGTAGTAACTTGTGGCGTTGGGTGATGGTATCATATACATATAATCTTTGATTTCCAGGAATGTTGTCTTGATATAATAGTAAATTATTAGAAGATGGCAGTCCAACCACATTTTCACCTGGGAAGGATAAAGAAGATAATTTTCTAGCTCTCGGGCCTTTTTCTTCAAAATAGTTGTTGAGTGAAGCTTTAAACGGTGTCGCATTGCATCTGCCTCGACGTTGCCTGACTCACAACTCAAGGATGATAATGTAGATAGACCTGGGATCATTTTCCGAAGTTTGGAAAGACTAGGATGGCCCAAACGATTATGAAGGAGATCTGGAGACTCGGAGACAATGCATGCTGTAGATGGGATATGGAGATGATAGAGACCCTGTGACTCACATCCTGTGCCAATCATCTATCTCGTGTCGCGATCTTGTATAACAACAGAGTCAGTATCAAAACGAATAGAGCAATTTAAGGAGCAGGTAATTTTACTAACAGACACGAGATTAAATGGACATTTGGGAATATAAAGCACAGATTCTAATGCTAAGGAGGGGAGGGGTTTTGCACATCCAATAGCTTGAACATCGGCTTTAGACCCATTGGCTAAAGTAATAGGAGGTAAAGATACATTATTTATAATTTGAGTAAGTAAACGAGGGTTACCAGAAATATGATCCGAGGCACCTGAATCTAGGACCTAAGGTCCTAAAGCGGAAGACTGAGAAAGGCAAGCAACTGAATTACCCGTTTGAGCGACGGAGGCAATGGATGAAGAAGACTACTTACTGGCCTGATACTGTAAGTATTCATCATAATCAGTACCTGTGAGAGTTAAGGAGGGTTGAGCTGGCATTGTATAGGACTCAGAATGAAGATCAGAGTGATCAGCCTGAGCAATATTAGCAGCTCGGGTAGGTCGACCATGTAACTTAAAACATTTCTCTCTAGTATGCCCCCACCGATGACAGTAACTACACTTGGGCCGATGTCCTCTGCCACTTCGATCGCCTTGTTCTCGAAAAGAGTGGGACTGAGAAACAAGGACAGAAGAGTCACCTGGGGAATGCACAGTAGTAGGGGAGGAAACCTGAAGTAATCTGGCAAACACTTCATCAAGGGAAGGCACAGTGGATCCAGAAAGAATTTGATCTCGAACAGGTGTAAGATCTGGATCGAGAGCTGCAAGTGTTAGGACCATAAAGAACTTGTCTCGTTGAGCCAAATCTTCTGCCACAGATTTACCAGCAGGTAACAGCAGATTAAATTCTGTCTTAAGGGAGGCCATCTTACCAAGGAAGTCCGACATATTCATATTCTGTTGTTTAAGATGAACTAAGTTGGACACAATAGAATATAAATGCTGAATGTCATTTGTATAGAGAAGTTTAGCCTGACTCCAAATATCAACACAAGAGCGATAAGATTTGTAAATAGGGTGAAGTGGTGGATCAATAGTTTGTCATAACATACTACATATCATAGCATCAATTTTAGTCCAGGAAGACTTATCTGACGTAATATCGGCAGCTTTGGTGGTCAAGTGATCCTCTAAACCTTGACCCATACACCATAATTCAACAGAGGCAGCCCATGATGAATAATTAGCAGTCCCAATCAATTGCTTGGTGATGATGAGAGGGAGAGATAAAAAAGAAAAACCACTTGTATGTGATTGAGAGACTGATTTTGAGGAATCCATGAGAAGGTCAGAGTGTCTTGAAGCTGACAGAAAAGCAAAAACTTACGTGCACCGAAAAAACAGAATACTTGCGGAAAAAACGAGCGGTGCGTGAGGGCGTGTGCAGCAGTGGCCGGCGACGAAATCACTTGGGTTATGACGACGATGGGAAGACGATCAGTCTGGTGTGATTAGACCAGATTCTGATCGTTGCCAGAGAACAGTCGCCGGAAAAAAAATTCCAAGAAAGAGAGAAGAAAAAAAAAAATTTGAAATTTCAGACACTTGGCTCTGATACCATGTGGAGAAATATTTTCTTATGTATTCATAACGAAATGTACAATGAATTTATAGCAAAAACAAAAAACTAATCTAGGAAGTAAATTGTTACATTCCTATTATAATTCTATTTCCTATATTACAAAGAGAATAATCCTATTTCCTATATTACAAAGAGAATAATTTCCTATATTACAAAGAGAATAATTCTATTTCCTATTTTACATTTCAACACATACCATTTGTAGCCCGCTGCATCAGATCCATCTGACATTTCTTGAATGAAGCATTACATAGCCTTGAGAAGGACTCGATTTTTAACAAGTAATGACTAGGAGAAGTACCCATTCCTGAAACAAAATAAAATGGGATACTTATTGTTTAGTGAAGCTTTAAACGGTGTCGCATTGCATTTGCCGATATGCTGTCATTTTGGACTTAACTTAAATGACAAATCTCAATTGTAGAATCCAGCATGATCCAACAACTCTAATCAGTCCAACAAGTCAAACTATATAAAGCTGAGTTGTTCAAGAGAAATACACAGTGAAAGAAAACCTCTCTCGCGTTCTTTCAACTCTGTTAGGGTTCTTGATTTAGACTCTCTTCAAATCGTGTAATCGGGTCACAATTGGTGAATATTGTGGGTAGAAGAAATAGGTTGTTCTTCTGGTATAGACATACTATTTAGTGCCTTGCTTTGTTGCGATTACTAGGTGATTTTGAGGGATTGTTGTGCGAGAGAGAGGGTTGGGTAATTTCTGTGTTGATTGGTTTGTAATTGTAAGATCTTGATCCTTATAGTGCAGTGAGCCCCAAATTACTTGGAGCTCAATGTGGATATAGTTTATTCCATTGGAATAAACAAACCACGGTAAAATCGTTCTTGTTCTTGATTTCTTTCTTGGTTGATTTGTGCGTTGTGCGTTGGTGTGTTTGCTGGTGATAATTGTTAGGATTGAGTTTGATTAAAATCCAACAGTGATATCAAAGCCAGAATTAGGGTTTTTCTGGTCTGTCTTGATTGTTCGTGAAACCTAGGGTTTATACAAATTGGGGATTTCTTGATAATCAGTCAAATCATTATCTTGAGGCTTGAAAAACCTTGGATTGTCCTATCAATTTCTTGGAATTGGTTTGAATTTGATCCTAAATTGATTAGGGTTTCCTGTGTCAACCCTGAATCCAAACACTAACCCCACAATGACTACTACACGAGTTGAAATCACCGAATTCGATGGAAAAATTGATTTCAATAATTGGAAGAAAAATGAGAAGGCCTTATTATCACATAATAAGGTAGCTGTTGCGCTAGAGAAAGATGCAACCAAATGGTCAGAGCAGAAACTGAAAAAGAAAGCAGAGGTGGACGAGGAGGCGTATAACCTGATTATCATGAATCTCTCCGACAGTGTCCTGAGAAAGGTAGACAACTTTGAAACTCCAATTGACGTATGGGGTAAACTCGAATCCCTTTATGCTTTATAGTCTGCTCCTAATTTAACTTACTTAAAAGGTGTTCTGTTTTCATATAAAATGGATAGCTCTAGAACCATTGACGAAAATCTTGACGAGTTCTTGAAAATAACCCAAGTGTTTAAGGGCACAGATCAAGAACTCAGGGACTCTAGCTTAGCCATGATCTTACTAAATTCTTTGACAGAAGAGTACTAGGTTGTAAAGAATGCCCTTCAATAAACTGGTACTGTTCCAAGTTTAGACCTAATAGTCTCGGGACTAAAAGTTAGAGAATTAGAGCTTAAGGTACAAAGAAGAACAGGTAGTAATCTGTTTGTTAAGGGAAAAGGTGAATTTAACCAATTGGGCAATACTGACTAGTCTGATAGTGGCTCTAGGAACAAGAAAAGAGGAAAGCTAAACCGTAAGACCAAGGGAGAAACCAAGAAGTGTTTCTTCTGTAATAAGACTGGTTATTTAAAAAAGAATTGCTAAGTCTGGCTTAAGAAACAGAAACAAGGGAACACTGAAAGCAACCTAGCAACCTCTAAGTCTGATATTGAAGAATCTAAAGTTCTAACAGTATCCAAAACTGAAAATATAAATGATTGGGTGATGGATTCCGGGTGCTCATTTCATGTGAGCCCCAATAAAGAATGGTTTCAGGACTTTGAGGAGAATAGGCCAGAAACTGTGTATAGAGGTAATAACAATGCTTGTAAAGTCCAAAGAATAGGTAATGTAACCCTAAGACTAGACACTGGAAAAACTGTCAAGCCAACT